TTAATAAAGAAGGGGTAGGGTTTGCTCAAAACCCCCCACAATTCTCCCACTACAACCCTTTTTTTTTTTTTTTCTTCCCCCCCCCCCCCCCCCCCCCTATGCTCCTTTCTTTAAAAAAAGTTTTTTTATTTTTGTTACAGATGCACAGCAAGGGGTTAAAAGATTGCACGAAGATAGTTACAATCCACATGTACCCACTAAAGATAATCGAGATGATTATCGAGATGATTATCGAAGAGATTCTTACCCTCGCCGTGATAGAGGGCGATATGATGATTATGGAAGAGATTCTAAAAGAGCGGCATATGACGGTGGTTCTTCTCGCCCAGAGTGTAATCTTTTTATCCGATTAATTAACTAAACTAAATTTTTTCAACTTTAAATTCTAATATTGGTCATCAAATGATTGAATAGATGATGGAGGTGGTAGACATCGTTACGGCCTTGGAAGCGAAGAGCGCAGGCCACATCACGGTTCACATTACGGGCCAGGTGAACCGCGTGGTACTGGACACGAAGAATTTAAGGTTCCAAATGCCGTTGTTGGCTTAGTAATCGGTCGTGGTGGTGAGAATTTGAAGAGGATTGAGAAAACGACTGGAGCACGTATTCAATTTTCGCAAGGTAATTAATTAATTATTTATTTATTAAGTAATTATTTTTTTTTTTTTTAAAAAAAAAAAAAGATTAAAAATTATTATTATTATTATTATTTAGATCAGCCTCCGGACGTTGTTGAAAGGCGTGTTACTATTACCGGTCAACCTGATGACGTTAAAACCGCTCGATCAATGATTCAACAACTCGTCGAAGACGCTAGTAATGGGACTTTGACTAGTCGTCGAGATTCACATAGTGGCGGTAATCGTACTACCATTACGATTCATATTCCCGTTAATAAAGTTGGTGTCGTAATTGGACGTGGCGGGGAAACTATTAGGGACTTGCAAGATAGAAGTGGCGCACGTATCAATGTTACCCCAGATAGCGCAGCTAGTCCCCAATCTAATGATCGTCCTGTCACTTTAATTGGTGATGAAACGGCTGTACAGCGAGCAAAGGCTCTTATCGATGAGATTGTTAATACTGGAGAATCGAGTTCTGATAGGGTTCGTTACCTTTACTATTAATAATCGTCTTTTTTTTTGATTATTACCCATTATTAATTTGTTTCTTAACTCTGTAGAACCATCCTAAAGATTATCGTTCCAATAATTATGGAAACAATTATAATAATACCGACAATAATCACCATGGAAACGGTTACAGCGGTGGTCATTATGGATCTAATCACGGACAATATAATCATCATTCAGGTAAGTCCAGTCAAGATAGTATAACCATCCAAGTTCCGAACGATTCTGTCGGTTTAATCATCGGGAAAGGTATGTTGCAAAATTTTCTACTTTTATTACTTGTATTTTAAATATTAATTAAACCTTTTTGATTTCAGGTGGTGAAACAGTTCGAGCGCTTCAACAACAATCGGGCGCAAAAATTCAGATCGAGCCTGTTCATGGAGTTCCACCTGTAGATCGTAACGTACAAATTATCGGTAAGTCCAAATATATATCAATATTGTCTACTTGTAAATGATAACTTCTTGTCCCCCCAAAATGCTGTAAATTCAATATCAGTCGTTCGATGTGTTTTGCGTTCATGTTGACGTCGCTTGCTGTAGGTACTGCTGAAAATATCGCTATCGCGAAATCATTGATTCTTGAAAAAGCTGCATCCGGAAATGTACTATCGTTTTTGCCATCGCTTGTTGAGTGTGATTGCTATCGTTTTTTTTTCCTTCTAGTTTTGGATATTAAAGGCCCCATGGTCATGATTCGTATTTGATTATTGATCAACTGTGATATATTCTTTTTTTCTTTCATTGGGGTTTATCACTTTGTGTGTTGGAATTAATCTTTTCTACAGCGCGAAAGACAATCTCGGCATAATAACGATCAAGGACGAAAGTAAGTAGAGAAGCGTTGATCTAGTTGGTAATAATGGGTATCTTTCGAGTAATAAGAAATTTATTTTTTCTTTTAGCGATTACGGATCAAGCGGATATCAACAAAGTGGGTATCAGCAGAGCGGATACCAGCAAAGTGGATATCAGCAAAGCGGTTACCAACAAGGAAGTTATCAACAGAGTAGCTATCCGCAAAGTAGCTACTCACCAAGTAGTGGGTACCAACAAGGTGGAGTTAGCAGCGCTAATGTTACTAGCAATAATACTAATTATCAGCAAACCGGATATCCGACCAACACCTATAGCACCAATACTCCACAACAACAACAACAACAAACTGCTTATGGGCAAAGTACTTCTAATGATTATGGTCAGAGTACTGCTAGTGGTTATCCTAGCGCCAATACTTATGGAGTAGCAGGACAACAACCACAAACGGCTTACAGTCAATATGGCCAATACGGTACTGCTCAAGCTGCGACACCATACAGCCAATATCCAACACAGACACAATACGGAGCTTATGGTCAAACCACCCAGTATAGTCAATCCACCCCCGGACAACCCGTTGGGCAACCCACTATTCAGCCTGTGATTCAACCCGTGATACAGGCTGTTAATAATCAACCTACTGGTCAACCAAGTGTTCAACCGCAAGGTAACGTATAATTTCTTGATTTTTACATCACCTACAAATTAATTCCATTTATTAATGATAACTTTTTATTATTTAGTCGGATATTACTCAGCTCAAACGACTACGATGGATCCAAACAAAATTGGATCGGGAAATGAAATTAAGTCCGATGTTCAAGCAGTATCGGCCACACCGAACTACGCTTACCAGCAATATGGATATAATTATGGAACGCCAACTTCAAATCAATATCCAACCGTTGCTACCGGACAAATTCAAACTGCCGCTGTCAGTCAAGCTGCTGGTGGGTATCCTCTTTTAGGTGCTACTGCGACCGCGTATGGTACTCCCACGGCAATCAATACCGGTACGACTTCTAATTCTGCAACGCCCGGGAGCGATCAAACTAATCTTCAAACAGCATATTCCGGATATTACGGACAACAACAATATACACAGGATCAATATAATCAACAACAAAATTATTATCAATATTTTCAACAGCAACAGCAACAACAACCTCCTGCTGCCTATAATTATCAAACGACACCTGCTAATCTACCTACGGAGGCTCCAAAGCAGTAAATTTACTTTTCATTCGTAAAAAAGTATTTACCTCTAATGCGGTTTCTTTTGTTGTTTAAACGTGATATCTCCGTCACATCTACAATTGTTGTAACGTTTACACGCAAAGATGATTATATCGCGATCTCGTGCGAATAGTTTTTTTTTTTTTTCTTTTTGACATAACGAGGACATTTTAAATAGATTATATTGGCATGGGCTTCTTTTTTTTTTTCCTTTTTTTTTTCGATATATCAGTCTCTTTATTATTATTATTGTTATTGTTATTGTTATTCTCATTATCATTATATTATTGTTTGGTTTTTTTTTTGGTGTTCATTCATTTATCGTGATTATTTTATGAATTTATGTACATAGGGGCAGTAAATTATCAAATTATCTGTTTTTAAAAACTTGATTTCAATATAACTGATTTATTAGCAGTATATAAATACAGTATATGAATGCCTGAAAAATATGGTCTAGTTAAAATGTTAATGAAATTATATTATCTATCATCAATCAATCGTGTTATGTAAAAGAATATTGAAAATTGGAATCTTATGATAGAACGTTATGTTACATACAGTTTAATAGAAATATATTATATAAAAAAAAATAAAATTTATTTCTAATTAAACGCTTACAGTAGGAAATTTTTTTTATTATATGTTCATTAATTAAAAAAAATATACCGTATTCCTCCGAAAATAAGCAACCCCGAAAATAGTATTATATCCGAAAATAAGCAACATGATGCTTTAAATCAATATAACTTTATAATTGTTATTTAAAAACAATTGAAAATATATTTATAATAGATTCTTAAATTTTATTTTATCATATTAAACACAATCGCTAGCACTATCATTGTCATTATCAATATTACTCGCATCATCATCATCACAATCGCCATCATCATCACTATCTTCATCATCGTCATTGGTATCAATATCGTCTTTATCAATAATCTCTAAATCAGAATCTAGTTTATTTAAATCAATCGATAGTTCACATGTCTTAAAGGATCCTATGATGATTTCGTCAGAAATTCTTTTCCAGGAATTTTTAACCCATAAACACACATCATTAAACTTAGTACGACAAAGGTTTCCCGCAACTGTTTCTCCTGCACTGCCACGAGCCACCCAAGCATGCTATTCCATATGGAGGTGATTTTTAAATGGTTTGTTTATCGCAACGTTAAGTGGTTAGCAAATATTAGTCAACCCACCCGAGATTACCGTAAGATCAAAGCCACACTCATAAAATTTTTCTTTAACCGATTCTTTTAAATGGCCTCTAAAAGAATCGTATACAAGTATTAAGTATTCTGTAACCTTAATTTATCCGTATTCTTTCACGTAGGTAACTACCTGTATTTTTGTTTAATAGAATATGAAGTGCGTTTAACAATCCTTTTTCTTTTAGGTAACGGCATTTTTTCTTTTTACAAGCGTACAAATGAATTGGAATGGAGTATTTAATGCAGTTTTGTTCACATTTTTATGTGACAATAGCTGATCAAACGTGACAAACAGGTGACCAAATGTCACAGGATCGAATTTGGAATTTTTCGAAAATGAATTTTATAAGCAATATATATTAAATATTATAAAATATCTAAAAATACCCGAAAATAAGCAACCTTATAATAAAAAAAGTTTGCTTATTTTCGGAGGAATACGGTATATATTTTTTAATTTCCCTTTCTTTTACTAATTATCTATACATTCTTTCATTATTTTATATATATAAATTTAAATGAATTTTAAAAGCATATTTGCAGTCAAATCTCTCTAAATGCATCCCTCTTGGGATCATAGTGAAAATTTTAAGAAATGTGCATTTAAGAGGTATACATTTAAAGAGAAAATTTCTATATTATCTCTATATGCTTTAGACTGAACAAGGGCATACATTTAGAGAAAAAATATTTAGTGTATGGGGTTGACTGTATATTATCTCAAATTATATTTATCTTTTTTTTAAAAAAAAACTATTAACCTTTTCCTTTTTGATTATAGCGTTGAAGCAACAGAGATGATAAGACACTCGTACATTGTAGGGTGATAATATTATTCGCTTTAATAGCATAACTTCTGATTTAAGTATAATAATAATTACTATTGAAATTTTAAAATTTAAAGTAAAGATGTTATAATTAAAGGTTTTATTTTTTTTTAATTAGAAAATCGAAATGATCGTTCAAAATATTTGTTAGTAATAGAATATGCTGATAGAGGTACTCTTAGAAAGCATTTGAAGCAATCTTTAATGAGCTTACCTGAAACAATAAATACGATTTGGCATTTCAATTGGCTAGTGCTGTTTCCACCAAAAAGAAAATTTCACAAAATTGCTATAAATACAGAATTAGAAAGCAAACATAACAAACCAAATCAGAAATAAGTTTCATTTTATAAAAAGACTAAATTTTCTGAATGATATGATTACAGCTATCAGAAAAAATCTTCCATGCAATCTTAAAGATTATGAACATTCATGGTATTATGAGAATTTATAAGAGAATTCAAAAGGATATGTAAATATTTGTAAGAGCAATTATGGAATTCAATTATAATGATTGATCAACACCTTTCAACAAAAAAAGTTCTTGATAGTTTATCGCTAGAACTTATCTTTCTTGGACTTTTCTAATGCAAAAGTTGGTCGAAAAATTTAAAGTGTAGAATGTATTTCATACATTAAAGTAAAAAAGTGTGTAATGTAAAGAATTTACTTTCTATAAGAAAAACAAAAAAAGATATAATAAGTTTGCTTAATTAAAATTTTCCATTAATTTTTATATTTAATAGATATTTAATCATGTTGGGATTTAAGTTAATTAGAAGAAGTTGAATAAAAGAAGAGTTAGCTAATATGACATTAATATTTAAAGAGTTTATTGATCCACTTCAATTAACATATACATAAAAAAATTGATCAAGGAGAACTTGGATATAAATTGGATGAGTGATAAATGACATGTTATAATAGTTAATAGTTGTAGATAATACTATGAACAGAATTCTAATAAGTTAAAGAAACCAATGATCACAAATAACCTTACTGAACAGATCATGAAGAGAGTAGTGGCTCAACTTGATAGTAAATTAATATCTTTAGCATTCCTTAAAAGGCTTTTTAAAATTAAATTATGCAGATATATTTTATATGTCAATAATTTGACCAGTGGTAATAATCAAGATAATGCTGGATTAATAGCTTTTTTCAATTCTCAATAATTTGATCATCATGATTATTATTTTAAAACATAAAAATCAGCTGAATCCTTAATTAAACAGATTTTTAAATGATTAAATAAACCTACCAATGATCTAATACTTTCTATCTATAACATATTTTATGATAATCCATAACTTTATACAGTATTATGAAGAAACTTTTATTATACTTTAAGAATCATTATGAGATAAAAAGTTTATCTTTATTTTATTTTAAAAGTTACCCTTTATAAACAGCATCACAAGTATTTTACTCAACAAGCTATTATCTCGAATAAAGTTTTTAAACCTTTTTTTTAGTATATAATGCTTGTTCATTAACATTCATTATAAAGAAAATAAATATAAAACAAAAAAATTCAGCATGTGAAACTATCTTTACAACTATTTGTAAACAAATTTCAAGACAATACCCTTCAATTTTAAATTCAAGTCAGTAAGATCATTATCTACTTGTATTTACAGGTCCAAGTCTTTTTTCTTCATTTAACCAAAATTTAATGTCATTTCTACACCATCAAATTACTCTTCTATTGTATTATCATCAAGTTCATTTTTGTTTATCTTAACGTTTAAGTTAAAAGGCTATAGTAGTTGATTCAATACAGAGTTTCTAACTTTAAGATTTTCTCTAAGTTCTACAGGTATCTGTTATACTTGAATCAACTTAACAATTTATCACATCTTAGAATTTAAGATATATTAGTCAAACTCGTAATGATGAACTCAATAGTAAGTTAGTGTAGAGTATCACAACAAATCCTAGATAAGGGATAACATTGAAGAAAAAAATTTGTATGAATTTAAATTTATTCCTTTATTAATAACTTGAAACTTATATGAAACTTACAAATGAGTTAATTTACAATTTAAGCAAAAAGCTATTCTATTTATCAAAATAAATTTGCTATGACTAAATATTTGCTACACTATAAACTAACTATTTTAGTAAACTTTAACTATAAAATAATAATAAAATAAAATAAAATAAAAATATAAAATATACAATAAAATATAATGATGATAAAAATAAAAGAAATAATAAAAATAATAATTATAATAAAAATAATAAAAATGTAAAGAATTTAATAAAATAAGTCAATCAAATAAATTAAGTAAATCAGGTGAATTTTGTAAATCCTACAAATTAAATAAATCAGCTTGATTTTCTAATACAGTATATTAATTAAGATCTTCCTTAATATAATCTATATGAAATTAAATCCAATAACTTTTGTAAATCATTTTTCTAGAGTAAATTTTTAATGTTGACAACATATAAAAGTTAAATAGTTACATCAAAAAGTTTGCTTCTAATCCTTTTTCAATGATGCTGTCATCATCACCACTACTTTTTCTTTTTTCCTCTACCTCCTTTATCATGCAAAAAAGTTATAAAGTTTCAAATGCAAAAAAGAAAACTTAAAAGTTAACAATAATATATTCAATTACAAACTCATTAAAAGTAGTATTAACTTCAAGAAACTTGACTTGTAAACTATACTGAAATAAGCAAATTGTAAAATAGTTGCAAAAGTTGTGGTCTTCTATAGGAATTGATTATATTGATTTACATATGATATTAAATAATTTCTTAAACTCAATGATACAAAACTCTTGGTTCTCTTACAAGATGGCTCCTTTAAATACGAAATCAAATTCTGTTAAAATATCCTTACTATCCAAGGAAAATGATCAGCAAGGTTTATTTAAATTTATTTATCTTTTATTTATCTAATAATATTAGCTAACTAATACATTATGTAAATATTGATAAGAATGAAAATAATAGTAACAGAAAATGCAAGAAGTCATTAAAATTACTTCACTAT